CTGAGATAAGCAAAATAACAAGGCACGCTGCATTAGGACCTTGTAGGTCACTGTAAGGATTCCTGCTTTCCCTCTTAAATAAGATGAAATCCACTGGAAGGGTTTTAAGTGGAAGGCATTTTAATCTCAGTCTCCTTTGTTGAAAATAGACCAGAAGGCACAGGCAGAGACAACACTTAAGCTTTTGCAGTAACCAAGGGAAGAAATGAAGACACCACCAGGTACATAGTGCCAGTCCAAAAATGACAAGTAGTCAGATCTACACAGTTCTTGAAAACTGAATTGACAGAACTTAGCAGATCCTGCTGGTGGTTACAAGAAAGAAAGGCAAGACCAACTGTAAGGCTTTTAAGCTTGGACAGCTAGAAGGACAGATTTGTCATTTATAGAATGAAGAAAGACTGCCTAGAGCAGCAGTTTTTCAGAAGAGCACATATAGAGACATATCTAATTAGCATCACGTAGAAATGTCAAATGATCAGATAAAGATACAACTTAAGCTTGTACCCCAGGAAAAGGGGTCAGACTATAGCTACAAATGTGGGAATCTCCAACCTATAAATAGCACTGAGGTCATCATTGTATGAGATCACCGAGTTACTAGTGCAGACTGCAGAGAGGCCGTCTAGAACTGAGCCCTTGGCATACCAGTGTTAAGGAGAGAGTTGAGTTACAACCCCTGAAGAGATCAAAAAGGAAGCAGCGGTGACACGGGGAAAACAAGAATGAGGTATCCTGGAAGCCAACTGAAGCCAAATGTTTTTAGAAGGAGGAGGTGATCGACTTGGCCTTGGTGCTGATAATTAATGCTGAAAACTGCCGTTGTCCTCTGCAGTGGCATAGACTGGTCATTCTGTGACCTGGCCAGGAACAGCCAGGGAAGAGAAGGTCAAAGAGAGGAATTGGAGGCAGGGAGCAAAGGGAACAATTGCTTTGTGACATTCAACAGTTGAGTTAGGTATTTTACATAAATGTAGTTAAAAGTTTGGAAAAGCATGTTTCTGAAAAAGGGCTTCACAGATGCTAACTACAATGTATACTTACATGAATATATTGTAGGTGTGCTAATTGCAGATTTATGATACCCCTACCAATGTAAAATAAACTATCAAGTTCTTCTCTATGCCTAATTTAAAGTTTTAGCATTGTTTCAAAATGTGCTAAGTTTCTATGTATTGAAATGGTCCTAAAAGTTATTTGTAAGAGCACACTGATAGATTTTTTTTCTGGTGTTGGGTTGTCCTTTCATCCTTAGAAAATATCCTACTTGGTCACATAAGATTTTATTATTACTACTTTTGCTTTGTGTTACTTAAAAATAATAGTTTTATTACATTTTATTTTAGATTAAGATTGACTTTTAGTTGTCTTGTATGGCCATTGTTCAGTTTGGGTGTCAAGATTATATCAGTCTAACGAAATAAGTTGAACACATGTACCTTTGCCTGTTTTCTTAAATAGTTGTTATATAAAAAGATTGGCTCTTCCTTGAATATCCAGGGAAGCTATTAAAAAAAAAAAAAAAATCCAAGCTTTGGTGTCCTTTCCAAGAATGAGACAATTTCTTCAGTAGTTATTAGCTTGCATAGTTTTTTTTTTAATTTCTTGAGTCAATTTTGGTAATTTTCTTTCTTTTTGGGAAACTACCATTTCATCCATCTTTTTAAATATGTTGACATCAAGAAACTTAATGTGAGGTGGCTCCATAGCACAATGGATAGCGCATTGGACTTCTAAGAAACCTAATGTGATCTTTTTTTGAAAGTTCTACTGTAAAAAAAAAAAAAAAAAAAACTGGGGCCAGGGAGATAGCTCAGTAGAACAAGCACTTGCCTGGCAAGCACAAGGGCCTGAGTTCAATCCCTGGTTCTGCAAAAAAAAAGTTATATTGTAAGTATACCGTCCTGGTAACTTTTTTTCTCCTAGCAAGGGTTTCACTGTGCAATTCAGGCTGACCTTGAGCTCACTTTGTAGACCTGCTGGCCTTAAACTCGCAGTGATCTTTCTGCCTCAGCTTTCCAAGTACTGGGATCCTGGTGTGTGTCACCATACCTGGCTATTCTGACTTTTCTTGATCCATTTTGCCATGCATTTGTCTTCTTAGTAAGTTTTTGAAAAGAACCAAGTTTTTTTTCTCTATTCATTACTAACTTCATTGCTGTATTTTATTTCCTTTGACTTACTTTGAGTTTACTCTTTTTCCTTAAATTAAAATGTTTCATGTTATCTTATAGCAGGAGATATAATGTCAACTTGTCCCACTATTAATAATGATAGGTTTAATCATTTTGTTTGAAGCAGTAACTGCTGTTTAACATTTCCTATGAAGTTTTTAGTGTATTATAATCAATTACAGCAGCCAGGCCTGACAGCACACACTCTGTAATCCCAACATTCAAGAGGCGGAGCCAGGAGGATTGTCATGAGTTCAAGGCCAGCGTGACCTACACACCAAGACTCTCTCTCAAAAAAAGCAAACCCATTTATCAGTGGCACTGTCTCAACTGAGAAGCTCTCCAATGTCTTGCTCTTTACCAGTTTTTGTTTTTAGAATTCTGTATTTTTTGTCATCATAAAGTTATATATTCTATTCTGTTTTAGAACAGCTTTCATTGTTACAGATGGTATTTGGCCACTTGGAAGGTAGGAAGAAATACCATCTTCTACCACTAATGGCGTGATGTTATGTATGTGACCTTCCTAAATTTATTTAAGCAGTCAGAAATCCTATTTCTTTCAAACTTATTTTGGTTCAGGTGAGCTTGGTGTACTTGGATTTATGGCACAGAAAAGTAAACGAGAAATGTAAATTTAAGGGAACCATTGCTGAGCCCAGCACTTTTGCCGTTAGCGCTGTTTTGGCCTCAGTAAGGGGGGTTTTCAGTGGGGCGGACCTCAGCTCACCTGGACCGTGCCAGCAGCTGCAGGGGAGTGGAGAGGGCACCTTTCCTAGCTGTCCAGGTACCTGGGTGATGACCGAACAGTCAAGCCCACATCTGGAAATGAAAGAACATGTGCTGTAGCTGTTACAGTTTCAAGATTGAGTCCTAGTAATCTTGGGATTCATAATGTTTCTTTTGCCTGATAATCAGAATTATTGCTGTACATATTTTGCCTCTAAAGATCAGTCATAAGTATTATAGAAAAAATTTTTAATGAAAATTATAATCCCTGGTACCACAAAAAAAAAAAAAAGAAAAGAAAACTAAATATACAAGCCTGTACTATCTGAACTTCAACTGATGACTTTAAAAATTAACTGAGTGGGGCAGGTATAGCGCTGTGCTACGTCTGTAATCCCAGCACTCTGGAAGAACAGCCTGAGCAATTTAGCAAGACTTTCTCTCAAAATAAATAGAAGGGCTGGGGATGTATCTGAGTTCAATCCCTAGGTCTGAGGGAAGAAAAAGATTTTGAACTGCGCGATTAGAAGTAAGGGCTTAATGATTGAGAGCACTGAACCGTTACTGATGACTTGAATCTAATCCAGATCATGAAAGGGTTCCAAACACAATAAAAGGAGACGCTGTTAAAATGATTGTTTTCCACGTCGTCCACTTGGATGACTTTGCTGCTGTTCATGTGTTAGATTGTAACTCTTTGTAGCAAACCGTGTTCTCTGCAGTGTGCCTTGTCAGGACACACTGTGCCGCAGACACTCAGCAGCTGTGCGAGTTCCTCACTGGTGGTCGGTGGTCGGTGGTCGGTGGTCAGTGGTGGTCGGTGGTCAGTGGTCGTGCTGTCTGGCACAAATCACTGTACAGTTGCCATCTTTGGCAGGAAGCTAAAGTCAGAAGACTTGGCTAGAATTGTTTTGCTTGATGAGGTGAACCAGTGGAATACTGAATTAATGGACACGCTTTTATTATGTAGGTTTTCCTTATACAAATTTCAGTGCTTTCTGGAGAAATCAACTGAAACGTTTAGCTAATTAGATACTCGCTGTATGAGACAGTGTGCTGATTTAGTTTTCTTCTGTATCTTTATCCGTCTTCATTAATTTTCCTTTTTTTATAAGTAAATTTCCTTCAAAAGGAAGATTTGTTTTACAAGGTATAATTTCACGGTTTAATCTGCTAAACAAAGCAGTTTTGTTTTGGTGGTTATTCCCACAAGTGAAGAAAATTATGGTTGATAAAGTAGTATAAACTCTTTTATTGTAACTTTAGTTATGAATAAAATAGTAATCAACATCTATTTGCAAAAATAATGTCTTCTTCCTTTGCCATTACCCTCCTTTCAGAAGCTGTTTCAGTACTTGTAAAATTAAGTGGGCTTTTTTTAACCTCGTAGTCCTATTAATATTTAAAAGTCCACAGGATTTCCTTTCCTCCTTTAAAAGTGTAAACTCTCATGCTCTTTTTTGGACTTTCTCCAGAGCATCTTAGAGCTTTTGTATCTTAAGAACTTAGCCATTTGAAATAATAGTACAATCATCAAATGTCTATCCTATTTTCCTTTCTTACACTTTTTAATGAAATAGAGGTCATTTTATTGATGTTTAGGAAAGAATGGTTAAGCCCAGCATGGTGGCACATGCCTGTTGTTTACTGTGTCAGAGGGCAAGACAGGAAGATTTGAGTTCAAGTCATTCTTGACAACGAAATCAGACACCAACTCAAACAAAAGAAAAGACAGTGCTTAAGGCTTGTGAACATGGCTGAGTATAGCTTAGCAGCATGACACCTGCCTGGTAAGTGTGAGGTCCTGAGTTCAATTCCCAGTTCAAAAAGAATGACTTGGGGCCAGGGAGGTGGCTCAGTAGAATAAGTGCTTGCCTGGCAAGCACAAGGGCCTGAGTTCAATCCCTGGTTCCACAAAAAAAAAAAAAAAGGAATGGTTAAAAAAGAATTACTTGAGAAACGTTATTTCATAAGCATAGACCTAACATTGTAATACTTGTATGAAAAGGAAAAATTCTCTATTAAAAAGCAACATTTTTGCCCTATTTGAATTTTTTTTTTTGAAATTTTTTATTATACCAACAAAACTTTTTCTAGGATCTTCTGCCTATTAAACAAGAAAACGAAAAATCCCTTTCAGAAGACATGGATGCCTTTGAAAAAGTGAGAACAAAATTAGAAACACAACCACAAGAAGAGTATGAAATCATCAATGCAGAGGTAGGATATATCATTCCATTGCTTGTTTGGTTTTTTTAAAAGCAAAATCTCATTAGCAATAAGATATAAATGACATACATTACAATTTATAGAAAAGCTCATGTCAAATTTCTACATTTGACCTTTAAAATATGCTAAAAACTTTTTAAAAAAATAAATGCAACATGATCCTTAAAATAAATTTCAAAGTGTGATTAATTGGTTCTGATTTTAAGGAACATCCATTTGTTTAACATTTTTAAAGATTTCAAGGAGAGGTTCAAATGAAACCAATCCCTGGTACTACCTTTACCATTTAAATAGTGTGTGATACCACGTTAGTATAATATATTGAAGTTAAATATATTTAATCATTTTATAGTTACCAGTCTTAAATATTGAACTGAAATAGATGGAACAAACAAGTTGAAAATTTTTCAGTTTGATTGGGAAACAGAATCACAGATTGATTATATATGAAATCATGAGAGCCGAGCATGGTGGATCACACCTGTAAAACCAGCACTCGGGAGGCTGAGGCAGGAGGATAGCCATTGAGGCCAGCCTGGGCTACTAGTTCAAAGGCAGCCTGAACTACAAGGCAAGACCTTGCCTTAGAAAGTAAATAAATAAATAAATAAATGGAAAAGGTGAAAAAAACAATTCGTGTGTTAGGATGAAAATAGCAGTAGGGATTCTAGACTCAAAGTATGCCAGTGTCTAATAATAGCTGTGATATCAGCCATCTAAAATCAGTCACGCTTAGTGTTGAGCTGGTAGACAAGAACACTCCTACACTGGTGCTGTTTATTTTCTGTCTCACAGTGCCTTTGTCACCCCACAAAGGTAATGCATTTTTGTAAAATCAAGTCAAGATTGCTCAGATACTAATGACAACATATTTTTAAAGAATCTCAGCTTTTGACTGGTTTTTGAAGCTAACCTAACCCACAGTTCTCTCACCTGCCACACTTTGGATTTGTAAGACGTAGAGGCCACTTAAATTTTATTAATTGAGTCCCACTCTACAGATGTCACATGTGCTCAAAGGACACCTAAAATGATGTATACTATCCTGAGAACCCAGGCACATTGTGTTACACCTCTCGCCTTTATGCAAAACCCTCTTGGTGCTTCTGAACATAGATGAATCCTCCCTTAGCAACTGCATTATAAGATTGGGCCACCTTATTTTTCTGTGTTTATTCAGATACCTCTACAGATCAGCTTTTTATAAGATCTTATTTCATTTTGAATAGTCAGATGATTGGGTAGTTAGTTAAATTATCATTAAATAGAGCATTTGTTCCTTCTGATTATTAGGTTAAACATGGCGGTTTTGTTTATTATCAAGAAGGATGCTGCTTGGTTCGTTCCAAAGATGAAGAAGGTACAACAAATTCTTTCATATAACATACTCTGATTTCTCAGATTATACGATTTTAAAGGAAATTTGTCATTGATTTCTTAAAGGTATAAAGAAAATTATTTTAAAAACTTCTGAAATTCTTTTAAAAAGACTAATTTTTAACATCTAAGCTTACTCAAGATAAAGCCAACAGCTACACTCAAAAGCTGTGGTAGAATAGAAGTTGGTTCCACCGTTTTCTGTGCACATGTTCTGCCCAGGGACTGTCCTAGCCACATCCCATGTATCACTCAGTGCTGTTCGTACTCTTGCTGTCCAAGTTCCTTGTGGTCTGGGCTAGACTCTTAACAGTATGGAATGAATGTCTCATGGGTTGAGGCATAGAATAATAATAAACAGCACAGGATATTATTAAATAACTGATAGCAGTTCGTGTGCAAGTCAGGCTACCATCATTGGATAGCCACTTTCCAGGTGGCCTCTCATAGAAGGGGAATGCTAATCTAAAGTTCTGAAGGACAGTTTTAAATTCTTTTAAAGTACATCTTGTGAAAATAAATAAATAAATAAATAATAAAGTACATCTTGTGGAGTTATCTCTTCCCCATTTTTTTATACAGCAGACAATGATAATTATGAAGTTTTATTCAACTTAGAAGAACTTAAATTAGACCAGCCATTCATTGATTGTATCAGAGTTGCTCCAGATGAGAAGTACGTGGCCGCCAAGATAAGAACTGATGATTCTGAAGCATCGACCTGCATAGTGATAAAGCTGAGTGACCAGCCTGTCATGGAAGCTTCTTTCCCAAATGTGTCCAGCTTTGGTAAGCCACCAACCTGAGTGCTCTTTCTTGCTGAGAAGGCAGCAGCAGAAGTGTCCACGCTTTGAAGCACTGGGGGTGGGGGGTTGTCTGTTTTGTTTGTTTGTGAGTGAAGGCTTAAGGCGAGTGCAGACTCCGTGTCATCCCAGGTGCCTCTTGCTCAGAAAGAGCTTCCTTCTACGTAACTGAGTGACTTCAAAATAATGCTCCTGCTTTTTTTTTCAGTACTGAGAATTAAACTCAGGACCCTGCACTGACCAGGCAGGTGCTTATTCTACAGAGCTATCTCCCTGGCTTTTAAAAAAGTTAATAGGGGGCTGGGGAGATGGCTCAGTGGAATAAGCGCTTCCCTGGCAAGCTCAAGGGCCTGAGTTCAATCCCCAGTTCCGCCAAAAAAATAAATAAATAAATAAATAAAAAATAAATTAAAAAAAAATTAAAAAGTTAATAGTTAATAGTATCTTCGTTGTACAGTGTATTTTTGCTGTATTAGTAATTCTTTACCAATTTATTATATGCAATAAATCTTTACTCATACGTTGCATCCTAATTTTCATCAGCTTTGGGCTTGGATATGCATAATTTTCATTTCTTGGTATCTTGTAAAGTTGTTATAACAGATTTCTCCAAGTCCCTACTAAGGAAGTTTGGAGTGTGTTAATAACTTACTCTTCAATGGAAGCTACAACATTTTAAAGAGCAGAGCCAACTTTAAATTTTGTCAATGAGTTGTATATATACTCATACTTGTTCTGCCCTTTCATTTTCTCCGTGTTTTGTTTTGTTTTGTTTTTGGCAGAACCAGGGATTGAACTCAGACCCTTGTGCTTGCCAGGGAAGCACTTATTTCACTGAGCCATCCCCAGCCCCACTGAGCCATCTCCCCAGCCCCACCATTGTTTAATTTAATGTCTTTGCAATCAATTGACATTATACCCTATCTGATGGATTCTTTTTTTTTTTTTTTTTTTTTGGTGGAACAGGGGATTGAACTCAGGCCCTTGCACTTGCCAGGCGAGCACTTATTCTACTGCCCTCTGATGGAGTCTAAGAAACATATTTTATACATTTTTAACCTCTAAAATCAAAATGCAAATTATACATTGTTGCCTTAACAACCATGGTCAGCCTGGCGGTCATGATGTAATTATATGCAGACTTCCTTTGACAGGTCCTGGTGAAATCAAGAACCACCATTAAAATGTACTTGGTAGCTTAAGATATCCTATGACTTGAAAGCAGATAGAAAAAAGAAAAAAAAAAAAAAGCAGATAGAAAAGTTTGAGATCAGTGAGAAAATGATGTGGTACTGCCGTAGGCTGTTGTTACAAGTTGTCATTTTAAATATAACTTCTTTCGGAAGCAAAGGTGACTTTCCCGACTTCCTTCCAAAATATTGTATATTTAGCTCTTATTTAGAAAGTAGCCTGAGATGAACTTGTTGAAAGTGTGGAACGCATGTGGCAGTGCATTCCTGCCTGGAAAGCTCCAACTTCTGAATAGCACAGATTGGCATATTACAGTTCCAGAGGCACAGGTGCATTCTGGCACTCAGAATTAGAATGCCCTGTCCCTTCCTTAAGGGGGTGTGTGGCTGTACTTAATTCTTTTAATTACTTTCCTTCAGAATGGGTGAAGGATGAAGAAGATGAAGACGTCTTGTTCTACACCTTCCAGAGAAACCTTCGCTGCCATGATGTGTATCGAGCCACTTTTGGGGAAAACAGACGGAATGAGCGCTTTTACACAGAAAAAGACCCAAGGTACTAAGATGATTCCGGCAGGCCGTATTCTCTAGAATAGTTCTCCAATTATGATAAGGGCTGACCTTGCCTGTCGTGAAGTTTTGGTTGTGTTTGGAACCAAGTACATGAAGGCTAAGGTGATCTTATATTAGTTGCTTATGTTTCAAATTTGAGTCCCATTGTACTGAAACCCACATATATCACTAGCCTGCAAACGCGAAGTTACCAGCACTCTCTGGACTCTGACGCATGGGAGGAGGTGTCAATTAAATGTGACATAGGGTTGCCACACAGCAGTTTCAAGGCTTGTATAAATCAGAACCAGAATTCCATGGAATCAGTTGCACAGAACTCGCTACCAGTTTAATGCAGATGACATAATTACTGAATTACTTTGCTTTCAGCCATGGCCTCCACTGGTCTTTAAACTTTTCCCCAGTACTTCCCCCAGTACTATGGAAAATCTTTTCCTAAAATTACTACTTACTGATTGCTTATAATCCCCAGGACTATGCTCATATTAACACTTACTGAGGGAGCTGGGAACATAGCTCAGTGATTGAAGCACCTGCCTGGTATGCACAAGGACCCAGGTTCAATTCCTCAGTACTGCATGCATGCCGGCCCTGAAACTCTGGGTGTACCTTGCCAGCCACTGAAACCAGGCACATGCCTATAATCCCAGTGCTGGGAAGTTGAGAAAGGAGAATCACTATAAGTCTTGGCTGTGTAGCAAGACCCTGTACCAGGGCTGGTGAGATGGCCCAGTGGTCTAAAACACCTACTTAGAACAAACTAAGCTAAGCAAAGCACAGGGACCACAGTTCAATCCCCCAGCACCACATGCCAGCCAGCCCCGCCCCCTGGTGGGCTGAACTGGCCACACACAAAATAAATAAATTTTTTTTTAAAAAAAGACCCTGTATCAAATAAAGAAAAGATTTCATTTTTAATTTTAAATTTAAAAAAAAAAGCAAAACAGTACACTTAATGAGGTTTGGGAAGAAATGATAATAACTTTATGGACCTTTTTTTTTTTTTTTTTTGACTGGTTCTGGATGCCCTCAGGGCAGGTCTGGCAAGGCTTGAGGATCTGGGGATCGAACCACAGCATCCTGAGTCTGACTGCTTTGTTTAAGCAGGCACTTAAACACCTGAGCTAATGGGCAGGCCCCCAATAACAACTTTTAATACCAAAATCCCTTGACTCTTACCCAAATATATTTTTCAGAAAAACATTTTGTCAATCCCTGGTACAAAAAAACAAACATTTTTCCTTATTGTCAAGGTCTTAATCACTCATACATTATTTAGCAGTACAGTTTGGACAGTGTCGAATACAATTTGTAGGGGAAAAAAGGAATTTAACTCCAAATCTCTGACAGTGATGTTGATAGCCCAAACAAGAACACTAACACTACATATTGTACAAGAGTTTAGAAAGTCCTTAAAATCTTGTACAATCCTGTTTTTGTTTTTGTTTTATTTTGTGTTTAGTGGTATTGGGGATCGAACTCAGGACCTTGAGCTTGCCAGCCAGGCACTTATGCTGCTGAGCTATCTCCCTGGCCCTACAGTCCTATTTTTAATACGAAATGGAGATTTGGGGGAAATTACATTATGAGAGTATTCCAAACCACAGAACTAATTCATTGCCATACTGACCATAATTCCACTTTATCTGCCCCTCTGAGCCCCTTTTGGCTTCCTGATTTTGAAAAAGTCACTGTTAGAGGCCAGAAAAAGTCTTACCTGGCCAGGTTCAAAATCACGTTTGTTTCTAGTACTTTAGTAGATGTGGTTGTTCAAAAATATTTTTTTTTATTTCGATAGTAAATTGTCTCGAAATTCAAATTCAGGAATAATGCCAGCTATTATTTCTTAGAGATGGGCAGGTATAGTTTGAATATTATTGTTTCCATTTTCAGTTATTTCCAGGGTCATATACTGTAATTCACATATTCTGAGAAAACCAATATGTACATTTCTAAAAGGGAAAATCCAGACATAATTAAGAGATAAGATTTTTAATCACTGAAGAATAACCATTCCCCACTCACCTAAAAAATTTCTGATCCAGTACTCATCACTGTACAGTTGCAGAAGTGGTCAGATCCTCAGAAAGGGCTGAATTAGGAAGGTGAGGGAAGTCAGCTGTGCCCTCAGCCCCAGCTAGACCCCAGGGAAGCAGGCTTCATGGAACCTGGGAGTTACTAAGTTGCACCCACACTGACATCTTACTGCAAAAAGAATTTCCAAGGGCTGGCCAAATAGCTCAGCAGATTAAAGCGCCTGCGAGCAGGTAGGTGCAGGGGCTGGGGGTTCCATCCCTGGGCCTTCCATGCCGGCCCTGCCCCCATGGCACGCTGAGACTGCAACTGAGACTGGGCGTGGTGGCGCGCACCTATAATTCCAGCTCTTGGGAGGCTGTAAACAGGAGGATCACTATGAGTCTGATCTAGTAGTGAGACCCTGAACATCCTGTAGACCCTTCCCTAAAAATACAAAAATAAAATAAATAAAAATTTTTAAAAAAGAATTTCTGAGGTATATCTGTAACATTTTTTAAAATTAGTATTTTAGAATGCCAAGTCCAGACAGTTTAAAGATTTCTCAGAATTATACAGCTGATCATTAGCAAAACATACATCTTTTAGCTCTTCATCCATGACTCTTCTCTTAGGGTAGAGCCTGAATTTTCAGGTAAGAACTACCTGGAAAGACCTTGTCTACTCTGAGCAGCAAGGAGTTCTAGTCTTTCTTGCTCAGACTGGTTGTATGGTTGGTCTTAGAGCATTTCTTGTTCTGTTTCTGTATATGATGATACTTTACTTAGGGTGTTTCAAGATTGGATAGTAGCACTCATACCAGTGATTTGTTCATACAGCGATCCGTTCACACAGGTGTCTTGTGGGATATAGTTCTTGGCTTTAAGACTCATATTTTTTAGTATATTTCTCTTTAAAAATATTTAGGCAAATTAAAAGCCCATGCAGATCATTTTTAATTCACCACTTACATAAACAAGTAACACGGGCTGGGGAGATGGCTCAGTGGAGTAAGCGCTTCCCTGGCAAGTGCAAGGGCGTGAGTTCAATCCCTGGTTCCACCAAAAAAAAAAAAAAAAAAAACAAGTACCACTGCTAAGTAGGAAATTGAAGTGTGCCACCCATGCCAGCGTGGTACCTAGAATCAGTGCAACCAAGAAAAAAACATTTAATTATTAAAAGATAAATTGTTAATTATAGCATGGTTCATTCATGTGAATTAGTGATGACAACCTGCAACCACTAGACTGTCTTTACCTTTGCCTTTTCCTTGATAAGCACGGTGTCAGGCCCGTAATACTGCCGTCTTTAGCCAGTGCTTTTTCACTTAAGTGAGTGATGCCCTTAAGTCAGTTTTCCCTTCAAGTCAAAACTCCTAATCCACGAAAACATATTAGCACCTTATAACCACTGCATTCTTTTTTCTTTCTTTTTTTTTTTTTTGTGGCAAGCTCAGCTCGCCCTGGGGCAGGGCTGGCACAGCATATGGTGCCAGGGATCAAAGCGTGGTCCCTACCTATGCTTGCCTAAGCAGGTGTTTTGGACCACTGAGCTGTCTTGCCGGCCCAACCATTGCATGCTTAGCAATGTATAGAATTTAAAGTACATATTGCTACAAAATTATAAATGAAAGCTAACTAAGTGAAAAAAAAAATTGAACATATGGGTTCAACATATGTTGACTTTGTATCACGAAAAAGGGATGCATCTTGTAAAAAAAAGATTAAAAGGAAATATACTCAAGATACTAATAAATGGGTTTTCCTACTTCTCTAATCTTTTATAATAACTGCCATTTTTTTAATCATTGGAAAAGTAATTTTAATTTAAAAAATAAATATGAAGCCAGGCATGGTGGCACAGACCCATAATCTCAGCATTCTGGGAGGCAGAGGCAGGAGGATCACAAGTTCAAGCTCAGCCTGGGCAACTTATCACTGTAGGGATAGTATGTCTCAAAACAAAAAATTTAAAAATGTTGAGGATGTGGCTTAGTGCAAAGGCCAGGTTCAGTCTTCAGAAGCAGAAAAAAATATCACTAGAGATAAATGAGAAAAGGGTTAGCGCTCTACTTTTTATGTTCCTTGTTTCTAAGAAATACTTTGTTCTAGAACCACCTATGTTCTTTCTTCCACATAACTGCATATCTCCCCAATAACTTATCAGATTGCTTGGCTTTATCACAGAACAAACAGAAAATGTAAAATTGTTGAAAAGAAAGAGCAAAGAGGGGTTGGGGTCTTACCCTACAGTCAGGTGTTAAAGCATAGTATGCTACAAATTATAGGCTAATGCAAACTGGACCGACAGATAGCTAGAACTAGACATGTAATTCTGCAGCAAACCTTCTGACGTATGAAAACAGTAAGAAAAGAGACCTCACAAGCTAATGAGGAGTGAGATGGAACAATCCACACGTAATGGGCGACGAAGGAAGCTCGGCAGGGTGTTAGCAGCACACGTCAGCAGCGAAGACTGGTGTTCGCTTTACAGTTCTTTCAGTTTCTTTGTCTGAAAAATATTTGAGATACAACTTTAGAAAACATAATTTCAAATGCCTCTGGATAGAGAATGAAAAAGATAATAGCCATTTTAAAATGTGGAAACAGTGTTTACTACGGCATTTTTTTTCATTTTCTAACTGCTTTATAAATTAATGTGTATTTCACTTCTGAAATACTGTGATTAATGAGGCACACATTTAACATTTCTTGAACCCTCATGTCTGTCTGTCTGTCTGTCTCTCTCTAGCTATTTTGTTTTCCTTTACCTTACAAAAGACAGTCGTTTCCTCACCATAAATATTATGAACAAGATCACCTCTGAGGTGTGGCTGATAGATGGCCAGAGCCCTTGGGACCCCCCCGTCCTTATTCAGAAGCGAATCTACGGGGTCCTCTACTACATTGAACACAGAGATGACGAGCTGTACATCCTGACTAACGTTGGCGAGCCGACGGAGTTCAAGGTAACTGTAAATCCTGCTTGTTGCTGTTATACTCTTAAATGTCATACTTCCCTCAGTAAAATCTCTTGCTCCCCTGAGGAAACAGGTCGTAGGCTCTGTTGAAGTGTAGAAATGGGTGCCGCATTCCTGTATGTCCCAGTCCATTTCTCTTTCCTTAGCACTAATGCTGCTGTAGGCTTCACATGTGCCCTAAGAGCTGGTAAGTGACACGTACTCTATCCCATTTGTATTATCAAAACCAATCTTAGTGGCTTCAGAGGCCAAACTTATAAACACAATTTTGTGAGTTAATAGCTTAGATTGATTTCCACTGGATCACAAGGGTCTTAGTCTGCCGGCTGTCGGTGCCCTTCCTCAGATGTCCCGTCTTGGGCTGTCCACCAACCAGTGGGAACATTCTCAAGCCGCCTCTGGCCTAGTCCTCATGGCAATGGTCACAGTCCCTCCTGGGGTCAGGGCGAGTTCCTTCTCATCTTCACTAACAGTGACAGCACCTGTGCGCTGGTTTCTGAGGTTCATGTCTGGCTGCTGCCCTCGTGTCCTGTCCCTCAGCTCTCCCTTCGTTCCACACAGCTAATGAGAACAGCAGCTGATACCCCTGCTATTATGAACTGGGATTTGTTTTTCACAATGAAGAGAAACACCAAAGTTGTGGACTTGGACATGTTCAAGGATCACTGTGTTCTGTTCCTGAAGCACAGCAACCTACTTTATGTTAACGTGATTGGTCTGGCGGATGACTCAGTGCGATCACTGAAGGTATGTGGGGTTTTCAAAAGACAGTAAAGTATATACATAGTTTAGCTTAACATAAAACCACATTCTGAATAACATTGTGGACTTAAAAATACTTTAAATGGAATTTAGCATGCTAGCTCTTGAGCAGATTTCAGAGATTTATTTCAGAATTGCTTGGTGGGCTCAGCAAGCACTCTGACTTAGGGCATCACCTTGAAGCATGGATTTCAGGAACAGGAGCCTGTACAGTTCTCTGTGTCTGGGCCTCTCCATACAAGATGTCTTCCCAATGTTAGGTCAGACCAGCTTGGCCTCTAATGCCTGACCACTGACCGCTGGCCCTGCCCGGCTCCTCAGATAGTCCCATCTGCTGTTTTCTGCCCCAACATGCCTGTGTTCACACCATCTTCTCTTTGTTCCTACCCAAGACAGGTGGACTTTGGTTCCTTTGCACATGCGGTGACAGTGGTCTATCTTCACAGTAAAAGGTCACAGTGGCATGTCTGCCTCACAGGCTACTCGATACTGCTGATGTTGCCAAGTGAGGTTCACACGTGCACCTGGTGAAGTTGGGGAATGGCAACCTCATTGCCCAGCTTTAAAGCAGCACTAAAGAGTGAAGGAAGGTGGCAGGCACAGAAGAAAGGAGGAGGGTGCCCTCATTTTTCTTGGTAGGGGAAGTTCTGAGCTAGCTGACTAGCAAGCCAACATGGACCACTTCTGTGTCCTTAACTCCAGGATTGTCAGAAGCCCTGATAAACTGCATTTGTGATCAGTTTAGTGTCTGTTCAAAAAGTGACATCAGAAACGGAAATATCCTGTGGGCTATAGAGAAGTGGAAGCAATTTCAGGAAAGCTTTTGTAGAGTAAGTTGAATTATAAATAAAGAAGATAGGTCAAGTTTTAGAGGTGCAGATTATTATATTCTTGGCGGGAAGATCAGTAATTGAAGCAATAAGCTAGAGATGTTCAAAAACTATTTGGAAAACTAAAAATAATTCTGTTTCACTGAAGCACTTCTGGGGTATGAAACTATGACAGTGCTTTTGGTATTGCAGTAAGGAATTTATGCATAAATTATGAAGAGGGAACATCTGAAGTTTGGAGTAGAGGAAAAGTTTGCAGGCCGAAGCTGTATTCTGAGGTTATCAGGCATATACAAGTAGACTGAGGCAAAAAGAGGTAAGAGGCAGGGCGGTAGGTTTTGAGATTGTCACACTGGTATGTGAGAAATACAACCCCAGCCTGCTAGGTGTGAGATGTGGCAAGTTTGTGTTCCTTGGAATCAAAGAGTGAATTCCAAGGAAGAGAGGTTAAGAGTAGGAAAGGTTTATTAAAAGATAGCTTGAGGGGTCCCAAAAGTAGGTTGCCACTGAGGCCTTTTATCGGGGCAGTTTATGCAGCAAAGTCAAACTATAATCAGCCTGCAAGTACTCTGTACTGCTTCGCTAATAGTGATCCAGTAGGGAAGTGAATCACGTAGCAGGAATACATGGAGAGGCCAGCAATATAGCTCAGTGGCACAGCACCTGCCTGGCAAACGTAAGGTCCTGAGTTCAATTCCAGGTAACCCCTGACGCTGACACCCACCCCCACCCCACCCCCACCCCCAGCACTAGAAAGTACATGGAAAGAACGAGGGCATTTGGGGAAGGGCTGGGGCCAGATGCTTTGGTCACCCAGTGTGTAACTGACACCCATCTGGATTTCCTGGCCCAGGCGGTGCTAATTACAGTACAACCTCAAGTTGCTGCGCACCCCTGAGGCAGGCAGAGGCCAGCCGGCTGCATCTTGATCTTGAGGCCTGGCCTCTTCAGATGCACCTCCAGCCACCTCCAGTGTTATTTATCCGCTAACTTCCTTGAGAGCCCAGTCCCTCTCAGAATATGTATTTTTTCTGTGTCATTTATTTGCCTATAATAATACTAATGCAAATAAAAATGAAGGAGGTCCTAAAACAACTGAAATTCTCCAGCTGCTCCCCAAAGTAAAATTATGGGTTGTGATATCCAGATGCTTAGACCTCTGTAGTGCTATCCTAAGGTGACTTCCGGAATTTTCTTATTGTCTTTAGCTCCTGGGTTGCCAATCTACCCCCAAAATCAGATATCTTCATCATTGTCTGTATAAATTGAGGAAAAAATATATAATTTTTAATGATACATTTATTACAGTAAAATTCTGTCAAGAAAATTAGGACATGTGTAAATATCATATTGTCTCCATAGTATAAGAACTTAAAAGAGGAATTACATGTGGAAAGTTACAACACAAATAAAAGGAAAGCAGGAACTTGAGGATTAGACAATGAGGTGTGGGCAAGGAGAAAAGCTGAGAAACATGACGGGCAAAGCCATGCATTTGTACGCACAAGATGGCTGGGCAGTGATCCTGGGGGACATCAGCAGGTTTTTGAGAATAACGGTTGGCTGGTGAGTTCTAACCCTGACTAACTCTGTATGCTGGTGCCTGTGAGCCAGGCGGCTGCACCAAGGATGGCCATGTGTAATAGAGGGGTCACGCTTGGAGTGCCTGCCATCCTGGTCTTCTCAATATGTACTTCTTGTCATGACATACCATTTATTGCTATAATGTCTCTCAAGTGAAGGGTGTTTGTTTGTTTGTTTGTTTGTTTGTTTTTAAAGAGTGATACATGGAAAAAAAAAAGTCACAAGAATAAGAAAAAAAATGTCACAGGTCTGTCCTGTTACAATTCTGTGTATGGTTAGATTTCTAAATTTCTTTGTAAAATTATGTAAATGCTTATTTCTACCTTTACAAAATTATTTTTCCTACGTATTCTGTAAGGTCTTGAAGTTCAACATACCAATATTTGATGGAAAATACCTGTTTCATGATATACCGAAGATGTTTGATATTTAAACAGATAGGGTAAGCCGAACTGCATATATTGCAGGTTAATAATAAGCTTCTCTTCTGGAGGGTTAACAACCTAAGTTAGCAGTTCAAAATTGGAGAAAAGGAAGGGCTGCAAGGTCAGCCAACATTTTGACCCTAGCCTTTCAAGGTCAGTGAAGACTCGGCACATAGGAGAACCTCTACTGTAACAACATGTAACTCAGTTGTGCTCCAAATTTTCTGATCAAGAAGATCATGGAGCCACAGAGGAATGTGATCGATGATGTATAGTGTGCCTAGGGAGTCACATGGAGAGAAAAAACATTCTCTCAGGCTTTGACAGAGAGCAAACTGGTCAAGCAATGGCTGTGACCCATCCTCAAGGCTGACACTGACAAAGGATCTACAAAGTGCAGTACAGGGCAACGGGATAAATCCTGAGGGTACTTGACTGACCTTATCAGATACAAAAGTTACATTTCTTGCTGTATAGGTCTTGCTTTATCTTGGTCTTAACCACCCAGAAGAAAAGTATAAAAACAAGGTATATAAAGTAAAGCCATATTAATACGATGAGCTGTGAAAGGCTCAAGTCAACTTTTTTTTTTTTTTAAACATTTATTTATTTATTTATTTATTGTGTGTGTGTGTGTGTGTGTGTGTGTGTGGCCACACTCAGCCCACCAGGGGGCGGGGCTGGCTGGCATGTGGTGCTGGGGGATTGAACCGCGGTCCCTGTGCTTTCCCAAGCTCGTTCGAAGTAGGTGCTTTAGACCACTGAGCCATCTCGCCAGCCCCTCAAGTCAACTTCTGAGGATAACCCAATAATATTATAGACTGCTAGACAGTTTTGGATTGTTTAGCTGAATTCAAACACCTTAGTATTTAGATGCCAGTAGAATATTCACCTCTGACAGGACTAAACAAAAAAAAAGGGAATACAAAGGAAAGATCATTTTGTATTTATATATACAAAATAGTTAGGATAGATACACAGCTACTTTCGCTTAATTCAATGAGAAGCAAGAGGTGTACTAATAGTGTTTGGGCAGGATATCCTGTCTGCTTCTTGTACTATGGATAACCACTAAGAAGATAACAGTGTATAATGTATTGATTATCGAAACTGTCCTGTTCAGCTTTGAAACTGTCTTGTTCATATTTCTCAATGAAATTAAAAAAAAAAAAAAATTTAAAAAAAGAAAAGAAAATTAGGACCGTCATGTAGATTTTACCTCTAATGTCTGGCTTCCATGTAAATATGGCCCTTTATATTTTTATTAAATATTTCTGGGTGGGTTTTTTGAGGTTTTACGTTTATTAAAGGTAGGAAGAAAAACATGCTTTGCAGGGGGTATGAGGTATAAAGTATACATATGTATTTATGCCTACACCCTCTACACGTTCTCATACTGTTATCCAGCATTGTTAGGGCAGCATCAAATGGGGTCAGATGCTTCGGTACACACTAGGCTCCACTTAAAGGGAATTTTGTTAATTAGACCCATTTTATGAAAATGTACTGCTCTGATTAATAACCACAGACAGTGCTCTATTCAAAGGAATAAAATCCTTAACCATACGGCGAGTAGGTTATAAAGTAATTCTGTGTATAACATCTCTGCCTCCTTGGCTCGTGGAAATGTAAACCTCTTGCTGTTCTTGCTTCCTGTCATCAGTCATCATTGGTATTTTCTGGTAGCATTTTTCCCCACCAAAAATGTGCAGTGTGATGGCACTTATTGTAGGCAAATTGATTTTTTGTTTATTCTGTGTTTCACATCTGTTTTATTTGGAAGAGGCATCTGTATGCACAGGCTTGGTTTCTTTTAGCATATCCCATCTTAATCATTCTTTCAGAAAAGTGACAGCAGTTGGCTGGTACGATGTGAGTGCCCAGCCGGTTCCTCCAGTATCTGAGAACCGCCTGCCTCACAGCCAGCGTGTTTTCGAGTGCTGACCATGGGAGCATACTCCGTGCACGCTGTGGGCCTAGCTCAGCAGGACAGTGGTGCACGATGTCCTTGAGATATAGTTAGTACATACACTGTATCAGCTAGGCAAGCTAAAAAGTTCCACAGTCTTACAATATTTTTGTTGTGAATAAAACTTCAATCTTGGAGCTGCTCATTCTAGGAAGACACCTGAAAGGTGTTTTGACTTCCTGGAGCCAGATAGCCTAAAGCCTAGAGAACTGACTACATGGGTCATCCGGAAACTGCCCTTCAGTTGCACCCAAAGACAGAAAGCCTTTGTGCTTGCTTCTTGGGCTAAGGAGCCTTGTGCTTTCTTTCTGGCCCCTGGTTACCAGGTTTAAAATAACCCTCTGTCTGAGCACAATTAGGCAGGAACTCAGACGTTGCACGTGGGTCTCGTTATTAGTATTTGGCAAAAATAGATGCTTCGGTTTAATTAGGAGACATTTGTCTGCTGACATGAGCTCCAGGGCTGCCACGCACACGGGTGCCACAGTGTGTATGCGTACATGCATCCCCCAGCTCCTTTTGCAGTGCTGTTGCTGTGCAGAGACCTCTGGTTCTCCAAGGAATTTGCCCTTTCCGCAATTACGCAGAAAAAGAAAGGCAGTTTTCTTTTAATGTTCTGATTCTTGGTACCTCTTGTAACACTCTGTCAACCTGCTTAGCAGAGTTCTGTAAAAGGTATAAGCATGATGTTAGTGGAAGGCTTGAAGCTGGAGCCCGCTGCTCCGAGAGAATGAATTTTGATTCCTTTCCTTTTTTCTTAAAGTTATGAATCTTGGGCATAATAGCTGTAAGTCTCGCGGAGTAGATGTGCCTGGCAAGGTTTTGTTCTGCACAATGGTTTGCCTGGAAGCTAAAGTTAGAAACAAATTGTGAACACTTTAGCGCTGCTGAGCCGAGGGTAGCCAGGAGTAATGACTGTCATCACTGGGCTGTCCCGACAGCAGGCAAAAGGCTGGGGGGAAAATTATTCAGAATACACACATGGGGGCATTTTGTGTTCTGTGAGAACAGAGATCGTGCAGCCATGGCTGAGTTTTGGAGTTACTATTTCATTTCCTCTTATTCTTAACTGTTGTTATTTTATTACCCAAATTTATACCCCACCTAAGCTTCTGTTAAAGGAGATCACATGTAACTAGAATCCTGATAAGCCTTTTTCCTATAAAGATACTTTATTGGTCATTAATGTAGTTGTGTTTATTTCTTACTTGAAAGACACTTTCGTCATGAAGTAATCCTCAGATGCTCTTGGTAGAAAATAAACCAGCTGTCCATATCATCTTGTTTTGAGCAACTTAATTAATGATACTTAAGTTGTTTGTGTAGATCCGGCATGCAAATAACTATTCTCTGTCTTTAGCTCCCTCCTTGGGCCTGTGGATTCATAATGGATACGAACTCTGACCCGAAGAACTGCCCCTTTCAACTTTGCTCTCCAATACGACCCCCAAAATATTACACTTACAAGTTTGCAGAAGGCAAGCTGTTTGAGGAGACCGGACATGAAGACCCCATCACAAAGACCAGTCGGGTCTTACGTCTGGAAGCCAAAAGCAAAGTAAGTCTCTGGCACGTCTGCTTCCCACCCTGTCTACTGAAAGCCTGCTGTGCCAGAGATGGCTCAGGTGCTGCGACTACATGCGAGCCACCTCCCAACATCGAACCCTTCTATCATGGTCTTAGAGCCACATGACTTCGGAGAGTGCATGGGGTCTTTTGTTTAGCATTATAACTCAGGTATTTAACTTGGATTAGAAAATTTATAGGTTACATGTCAATTCCTTTATTTTACATGTTGTTTATGTTTGAATTTTTTTTTGAAAACTGTAAATAGTCAACATTAGGTGGCTGTGGCAGCCGTTGAAAAGGGATGGCAAGCAGCCGACCAGAGTGAACTAGACTAGTACAGGCCCTGCCTCACAGAGCTTCCACTTAGCAAGGAAGATGCCAGAAGTCGGAGAAGTAATTACTAATGCACTGACTGCTGCAACAGAAAACAAGCTGATGACAGAGGGGACACGGCAGAGGGACGTGACATTGCCTAGAGCGACCAGGGAAGCCTCTGAGGAGCTGCAGTCTTGGGTGCTGGACAAGGCCTGGGACCCCATTTGTGCAGAGGCCCTGAATTTGTGTAGCAGTGATACAGTAGAAAATATGGAGGCAGCCAGCAAAACCCAAGTGTAGAAAAGAGAGAAAGATGGGTGGGGAGAACAGAGAGGTCCGAAATAGAGCAGGAAGTTACAGGCACCCAGATTCCCGGTTTCCTAAATAGACAGAACTTACGCGTGTGTACTTCTCAGGAACAAACTCATACATAAACTATATAGCCTTGATTGAAGGACTTTTTAGACCTTAGCGTATCATGTATCTATTAATTTCACATACTCTAGCAAAGAATATCACGTTATTTTTCCTTATGAATTTTTTTATGTTATATTGATTTTCTTTTAACATCTTTAAGCAAATATTTTTTCTATTTCAAAAGCAGTACACACTTTTGCAAGCTAAACCTTATAAAATACAGAATGTGTAAAGTTTTTATATTTCTAAAAAGGGTCTCATTATGCAGTTTGGGCTGGCCTTGTGCTCATTTTTGTAGCCCCCAGACTGGTCTTGAACTCACAGCAATCCTCCCGTCTCAGCCTCAAGTGCTGGGATTACAGGCATGCACCACCATGCCTGGTTCCACAGAATGTGTAAAGTTTGAATTACTGCTTTTCATTCCTACTAGCTATATCTGTTAGAGAAAAAAAAAAAAAAAAAAAAGTGTTAATCATTTGTTCTTAGCACCTAGCAGATTTTGTTGCTGTCAAAATGTTTTAGGGGCTGGGGAGATGGCTCAGTGGAATAGCGCTTCCCTGGCAAGCGCAAGGGCCTGAGTTCAATCCCCAGTTCCGGGGGAAAAAAAAAAATGTATACTTTGGGGTTTAATCTCACAAACATAAGATTATGCCAAAATGTTGTGATTATTGTACCACAAACAGAGAAAACACAGACTTTCTAAGAGTGAGCCGAGGGCGCTGCGCACCGGGTGGAAGCTGCGCGTCGGGTGGAAGCAGCACCGAGTGGAAGCCACTATTCTCTCCTCAGGCTCTCAGTGCTGCTGACAGAGCCCGGGCCCCACACAGCAGGGCCTAGCATGGCCTCTGCTCTTTCTCTTCATCCAGTGGTTTTTCAGATTATATAATTTGAGGTCAGAGAGAAACGAGATGACAGGACCATGATTGTCTTACCAAAATGAGTTTATATCATGCTGTATAAAAATAAATCTTACTGAGAAGTGAAGTATGATGAAGAGTAAAAGGAAGATTACCTCTCACTTGATAACACTCTGGGGTATCATTTTATTACCCCAAAATGAAGTTTTGAAAATGAAAAAATTGTGATGGTTACTTTAGTTTTATATGTAAACTAGCATTGTGTTTTGTTTTGTTTACTTAAGCAAAGTGAGAACCAACTTCATTCCAGGTGTGGTGGTGCATGCCTATAATTTCGACTCTTGGATGGCCGAGGCAGGAGCATTGCTGTGAGTCTGAGGCCATCATGGGCTACACAGTGAGACCCTGTCTCAAAACAAACAAAAAGAGCCAACTTTACCGTTTTTTGTGAAAGGGAATCAATAGTAGTTCTCCCACCTGCATTTTTTTCTGCTAGAGGGTGCTGTGTTGCGTTTGAGCGACAGAGGCAAACACTGAGACGTAAAGGCAGTTTAAGAGTTAAGATTCTGAAATGCATTTGAACTACTTTAAACTTTCTGAAATACAGGCTTTGGAAAAGAATGTGACTGGTTCTTAGTAGCATCAGTAAGAGATTTCAGGCCGTAATGGCTGAGAAGCGTGACTTTAGAAGACTTCTTACACGCACAGATGAGAAGTGTCAGTATCTCACCCTAGACGTAGGAGGAAGTCTACAAGAGGAGGTGTGTTTCCAGCATTCAGAGCTATTTTGCCTTCATCTGAAAGCAAAATATAGAATAATCATACTGAGTAATGAATTTTTGTTCATTTGTTTTTGCTTGTGACATAGGGTCTCCCTGTGTCATTCAGGCTGGTCTTGAACTCACTGTGTAGCTCAGGCCGGCCTCAAACTCCGAGCGCTCCTGCCTCAGCCTTGCAGGTGTAGGGTTCCAGGTGAGTGGGGAAGTCTTTAAATCACCTTGCTCTTACGAAAGCCATGTTTGATAAAACATCAAGCCAGCTTGCTGCTGTTCCCTGCTTGATCCTGTGCGTCAGTAAGCAAGCTGAACCCCAGCCCAGTGGGGGGCATTTGGAGACCATCACTCCGCCATCTTAAGTGAAGTGCACACATGTAACACAAGTAGGACGTGGGGAACATGCACTTCGGAGTGTTTTCAATTACACGTAGAAGTGTTTTAAAAGACTCTTCACATGCGTGCCAATTCATTTCCAGGATGGAAAATTAGTGCCAATGACTGTTTTTCACAAAACGGACTCCGAAGACTTACAGAAGAAACCTCTCTTGGTGCACGTGTACGGGGCCTATGGAATGGATCTGAAAATGAACTTCAGGCCTGAACGGCGGGTCCTGGTGGATGATGGATGGATACTAGCTTACTGCCACGTTCGGTGGGTCCGCGCCTCTGAGTTCTACAGCACTGTGACATGTATCAGATACCCAGAACAGCAGCATACCCTGCAGGGCAGAAGCCTGCTGCCGGATTTACGCGTTCCTAAATCTCTGCATGTGGAATTCAGTTCTCTAACAGATTCAAAGAGCAAAAGGACAGATTTTTAGGGGTTTTAAATGTGTTCATCTCTATACCTAGGGTACCATTTCCATTGAATTCTCTAGTTTAGCTTTTTCTTACACAGCCTCTTAAGCTGTACTCCTTTTTTGCCAGCGTAACTTCCATGCTATTTTAGTTATTTCAAGACACAAATACGATTGTGTCTTCTCCATAAAATTCTCCTCTACCTCCCATCTGTAGTGCAGAGTCCAACTTGCTTGGCCAGCGCTCCTCGTGGCCTGGCATTCCTCTGTGGTGGCACCTGTCATCATGCACACACTGTGTCTTACCTGTCCCATGCTGCTGTCCTTCTGGCCCATAGGAAGTGGGCATCCTGCCCTCACGGTTCAGCCTGCCTGCCATCTCCGCAAGCATCAGGGCCCCGACCCGTGTGCCCACCGTGGCCTTATCTCCACAAGCGCACGTCTCTGCTCTGCTCCTGTGATGCCTCCTTCGCACTTGCAGGAGAGCAGCAACCACAGCTGGCAGTGTTTCTTCCCTCACAAAACTGTGGTCTTCTCTGTGCCAATTGTTGGGTATGTTTAGGGTCTCCACTTAGTCCCTGATGAAATGGGCAGGCACGCACGACATACTTGCTGACTTAGTTTTTGATTGTCTATGTTGGGGGATGACAGACTTGTTTTGAAGAACTAGGTGGTAAAGATTTTCAGCTTCATGTGCCTATTCCTTCTTGTGGTTTCCCCCAGCCTTTAAAAATAGGAAAGCAGGCCGGGGAGATAGCTCAGAAGAATAAGCACCTGCCTGGCAAGTGCAAGGTCCTGAGTTCAATCCCCGGTACCATTAAAAAAAAAAAAAAAAAAAAAAAAAAAAAAAAAATATATATATATATATATATATATATATATATATATATGAATGAAAACAATTTTTGGCTTGAGGACCATACAAAAACAGGCCTGCAGGTAATTTGCTGATGTCTGCCTATACCTACATCGTCACTGGTTTTCACCCTCAAAAACTTTTTTGCCTTTACTTCCAGGGGAGGCGGCGAGTTAGGCCTCCAGTGGCATGCTGATGGGCGCCTGACTAAAAAGCTCAATGGCCTGGCTGACTTAGAGGCTTGCATTGAGGCGCTTCATGGCCAAGGCTTCTCTCAGCCGAGTCTAACAACCCTGAGTGCTTTCAGCGCTGGCGGGGTGCTTGCGGGCGCACTGTGCAACTCTAGTCCCGAGCTCCTGAGAGCTGTGACGTTAGAGGTGAGTGTGCGCCATCTCTCCTGTTTACAGAAGGGGGCAGGCATGAAGCCATGCGCTGCACTAAGATGAAGTTACACTTGTGCCGCAGCATAAGACTGTAAAAAGCTTTTCAATTTAAATGCAGAATTGTAGCTCCAGAACTCCTAAAACTTGTAATTTTACTATCTCTGGTTTGCTTATTCTTCTCTGACCGTATTCTTTACTGATTTTTAAGGGTTTCCACTGGGAGATTAGTGGCTCTTGCCACTGAGCATTCTCTGTTTGCCAGAACATTTAGAGTTGATGGGAAGGAGATGAAGCATACGGGCCTTGCGGTTCTGGAAGCTGGCAGAACGTCCGTGGCTCTGGCGTGCGCTGCATCCTCTGGCTCCTCCCCAGCTTGACGCTCCACTTGCTCACCCTGGACTTAGGGGATTTTTTTAGATACAACATTTGTAATTTTAATTGCCCTTTTCCTCTAGTCATCCAAAATTATAAAGCTACGTTAGAGCAGTTGGCTTCACCTCATGTTGCTCTCCTGCCTCCTGTGCAGATAGTCTAGAAAATAATGGTGGGGTGGGAGAGTAAATGGTTTGGTTTTGTTTCTTGAGGGAGAGGGGTACAAAAAGTGAGCTTATAGTAATTAAGTATTAAACAGCCGTAATCTGAAGATCTACTTTTAAACATGGAAAAGCTAACTTGTAAAGAAACCTGTCCCCAATGATAGTAGTTCAGATCTTTTTTGTGGTACCCGGGATTGAACTCGGGACCCTGCACTTGTCAGGCAAGCACTTATGCCGCTGAGCTATATCCCTAGCCCTCCCAGTGATAGTAACAGAATCATTCACAATATAAAGAAAATGGAGCACCAGCCTTGACTTTCATAATTAGAACGGAAGTTATCAGCAGTGCAGGCATCAGGACGTTTGGCCCGGGTGCTGTCTTAGAGCGGAGAACTGAAGTCAGCCTAAATAGCCAGCAGCAAGGCATTCACGCATGAGTCAAAGTGCTTCAGTATAAGCAGCAAGAACCCTGATTAATTTAAGGAAAAGCATCTTTTTATGGAAGGACATTAGGTAAAAATGGGTATCGTCAGATCCAGTCAGATCTGCTTTTTTTTTTTCTGTATTTGAGGGAAGGGTCTACAGGGTGTTCAGGGTCTCACTACTAGATCGCACTCGCAGTGATTCTCCTGTTTACAGCCTCCCAAGTGCTGGGATTACAGGTGTGTGCCACCCCACCCAGGCTCAGACTAGAGGCTACACCACCAGAAACAAAAACGGCCTGCGATGCTGCTGCGTCCTCTGCAGGGCACGCGTCGCCGCAGGCTCCCAGCACCACACCCCACTTTGTCATGCCACCACCTGCGTCAATTCTCCACACAGTTTCTCCACACAGAATCACCCATTTCCTCTCCCAGGTTTGGAGCCCGTGGGTCACTTGGCAGAGCTAAGTGGTGTAGCCACTCTTGGCTGCAGGGAAGCTGAGAAAGGCCTGGCATCCCACGTCCTGATGGCATGGTGGCTCAGGTGGGCCAAGTTGATTTTCTCAGCACAGGAGAGGCGCTCAGATGCTGGGCAGCCAAAGAAAATTAGATGCCGCTACAGGACTGGGTGACAGCAGCGAGACTTCTTTCACCTCGGATGTTTTTCCAGATTGCCTTCAGTGGAATTGACTTGGGGAGCGGGGGCTGGGATAGCATTTTCTTTTAATGTAAAACTAACAGGTGAAATGCAGCATAGAGATTAGAGGGACTTTTCACTTTTAAAATTTTAGTTGTTGTAGGGTTGCTTTTGATAGTATGAAATGAACCCAGGGCCTTTATAGTGAGCTGCGTTACCAGCCCTGTTAAAAAAGTGTTTTGTTTTGAGAGCCGGAGATGGTGGCACACACCTGTCATCCTAGCACTTAGGCTGAAGCAGGAGGACTGCAATGAGTTCAAGGCCATCCCGGGCTGCATAGTGGGTTCAAGGCCAGCCTGAACCCCACAACCAGACCTGTCTCAGAAAAGCAAAAGTACTTTATACATAGGTGCAGACGTTAGGGTCTCACTAACTTGCGCACACTGGGGCCCTCTGCGAAGGCCCTTGCCTCAGCCTCCCAGAGCTGTGTGCCGTGTGGCACCTGGCGGAAGGCTTTTGTGGTAAAACAACACAGCGTATTGCCTGGCTCAGCGGTGCCAGGCACACTCGTGCTGCTGCGCAGCCTCTGGGCCTCGGTTTTCGGCCTGCTGGAGTTCAGGGCTGCACACGTGGCAGAGCCCATTTCCAGGCTCCCTCCCCACCCCGGGTGCATCCCAGCACTCTTCATGTGTAGGAGGTTGCTGCTCTAGCTATGTACCCCCCCCCACCCCATGCAGTCATACAAAATGTATCCTTTTTCCTAGTATTGGGGATTGGCCCTAGGGCCTCACGTATGCTAACCGACCCTTCTACAGCCTGTTGCTGTGTTGTTGAGAAAGGGTCTTGCCAAGGTGCTCATGCTGGCCTGGAACTTGTGATCTCCTCCCTCACCTCTAGGTTAGCTGAGATCACAGGCCTGCTCCACGGTTCCCACTTTATCGCATTTTTTTAATCATTTATTTACTTACTTATTTTTGCAGGGTCTCACTGTGCAGCTCGGACTCGTAGTGATCCTCCTGTCTCAGCCTTCCCAGCGCTAGCTGGGATTACAGGCATGTGCCACGCCTGGTCTCAGTGGCCTGGATGGCACACCTGGGGTTTAAACCCAGGTCCTTGCGCTTGCCAGGCCAGCCACTTAAACTGCTGGACTGTCTCCCCAACCCTAAACAGAATTTTTTATTTGCAAATTTGTTTTTATGATGTTGGGATTGAACTCAGGGCCTTGTGCGTGTGAGGCAAGTGCTCTCCCACTGAGCTCTATCCCCAGTCCTCATTCCCAGGTTAGGATTTATCTTCTTTATTTTGTACTGGGGATCAAACTCAGGACCTTGTGCGTACCAGGCAGGTGCTTATGCTGCTGAGCTATCTCCCCAGCTGAGGATTTATCTTTCTGACACTGGCTCATTTCACTTAAGCTATATCCCGGGGTCCCCGTGTGTTGTAGCAGGCACCCTCTCCTTTTTCAAGCCGACTGATTTCCCTCCAAGCCCAGATCACATGTTGCCTGGTCACTCACTTGGATTGTTTCTACCTTTTGGCTCGTAGTGATGCTGCTGAGAATGAGGCTTTAGGACCCTACCTGCAGTGCCTCTGAGCGTGCACACCGTGCAGCTGTGGGCCTGTAAGGTAGTCCTAGGCCTACTCTGGTGAGGAGTCACCACCTCTGTCCCACAGCCCCTGCACCATTTTATGCTTCGGCAGTGTATTTTGGAGCCCAGTTTTTTTTTGTTTTTTTTTTTGTTTTGTTTTTTCTTTTGGCGGAACCAGGGATTGCCAGGGAAGCGCTTATTCCACTGAGCCATCTCCCTGGCCCCCCAGTTTCTTTTCAACACTTGATATTTTTTGGTTGTTTTTAAAATAGAGTAGCCATCCTAAGTGTGAAGTCATGATATTTATCTCTCTTGTATAAGAAGACATATTAGCAAAGGGAGCAAACTAATGACACGCTGTGAAATTAGAAGATGAGCCCCTTTTTGTTACAAAGGCCATTTAAGGAGCTGGATGTGTTAATAAGCTAGCTGCCCATCACTGGCCGTGGGGAAGACTTGGTTGCTAGTCCGGCTGCATCTGGCTCAAGGACTCCCCAGGGCTCCTTGGGCTGTATTTTCTCTCCTCACTGTGTGCATCTCTACTATTTTCCTGAAACCCATCTTATAGCTTCTTGGCTGAAATCCAGGTTTCTCTGGCTCTGTTTCAGGCACCTTTTGTGGACGTTCTCAATACCATGTTGGACAAGACTATGCCCCTGACAGTAGAAGAAATAGAGGAATGGGGGAATCCTTCATGTGATGAAAAAGAAAAGAACTACATAAAACGTTACTGTCCTTATCAAAATATTAAACCTCAGGTAATAAAGACAGTTCTAATATACCATCCTGCAGCGATAGAAGAGATATAGAAGGACGTAGCCCTGAGCTGAGGTGGGAGCTGGCAGGGCTTAGACAGGTCCCTGTCCGTGGCGCACACACGTCCTGCAGGGCAGTGGCATTCCTGCGCCTTCATTACCAGATTAAATGAACTCCAGTCTCTTTAATTTAGACAAGAAAAGGCTGTTCCAAGTAACAGTCTAATACTGTGATACTGAGGTTCATTCAGGAATATCCAGTGAGAAAACACTTCTAGCACTTGGGGAGAACCTGGAGGTAAGAAACTTTCCCCTAATGTCACAGACGAGACTGGAAGAAGTGAGCTCTGTGCATCCCTTTCTTGTAGCATTATCCTTCAATCCACATCACAGCTTATGAAAACGATGAGCGTGTTCCTCTGAAGGGAATTGTGAACTACACAGAGAAACTCAAGGAAGCTATCATGGAGTATTCCAAGAGCGCGGGGGAAGGTAGGCCAGCAGGATGCAGAGAGTGCGGCTGACAGCATCTGCATCCTGCTCAGAGGGGTGCGGTTCGTGCCCTGCCCGACTCACTGCCAATGATTCAAGGCCTGTACTTGTTTTCCTATGATGACTACCCAGCTACAGGCTGGATGTACGCCTGTAACTGTGTCACTCTTTCGAAGGACACAAAAAAGCAAACTTAAATGTCCACTATAACCCAGAGGTGTGCTCTCAAAACAACTGTTTAACACTGAGACATTATTTGTGGGAATCTCTGAAAGATTCTAGCTCTCTGATTTGGACCTTAAGTGCCCAGACTGTTGAACTCAGATCCTTGCATTTGCCAGTCAAGCGCTTATCCTACTGAGCCATCTCCCCAGCCCCTAGTGCCCAGACTACTTGTACTGACTTCATTTTCATTGGATCAGAACTCTTCCTTTTTGTTTTGAAACCACAAGCTATCCCTCCCCTCCCTTTGTGGTGATGGTGGTGATTTTGCCCCGGTTCATTCCCCACACTTTTGAGTGGAATACTCAGAACAACAGAGAAGAACCGCATCTTAGTCTTATGAAGGATCTGATTGTTGTATTTGTCTCCTCTTTCAGCCTATCAGACCCCCAGTGTTATTTTAGATATTCAGCCCGGAGGGAGTCATGTGATTGAGGATTCGCACAAAAAGGTATGTAATCCTGCCTTGCTGGGCTGACAGGTTACCCGCATAGAGGTGGGTTGTGTTCAGCTTATTCCATGGTTGCAGCAGGAACACTGCTGGGAGCTGACCCACTGAGTCAGTCAAGGGGAGGGCGCTCTTACACTTGCTAAGGAGCGCGGCTACAGAAGGAAGTGACGTCATTGTTGCACACCTCCTGTGCCAAGCAGCAGTGCTCCTGCCAAAAGCTGTTGGCCTCAGACTTGGGTGAAAAACTTTAGAACCCTGAAGTTATACCACAGAGTCGTTCTAGCTAACTTTAAAATGTGTTTCTTTTAGATTACAGCTCAGATTAAATTCCTGTATGAAGAACTTGGACTTGACAGCACCAGTGTTTTCGAGAATCTCAAAAAATACCTAAAATTCTGAAATTCTACATTCAGCTGGGGTTTGGAGCGGCACTGACCTATTCCATAGTCTTATTTCCAGTTGGGTTAGCAAAAGTGAGATTTTAAGTTATTAGAAAAGTTTTTACAAGTTGCTTATCCACCCAAGTCGTGCTTAGTCTGCATGTTGGCCACGTGCACTGTCCTCTCCACTGCCACGCGTCCCTAACCTAGGGGTGTGCAGATGGCCTCTTTGGGGACCCGGATGCGGGAGGATGGGCTGGGGCGGCCGAAGCCAGGCCACCTCCAGTTGCAACTTCGCCTTTGTCTGCTGCACTAAGGATTTTGTGACATTTACAGTCAGTGGCCTTTCTCTTTCCTAGTGAACATTTGTAGTCACTGTGGCAGTGTGTCACCTTCCCGTTTCTGTGGCTGCATTTTAAGAAGAAAGAACATTCTTCAAATTGACATTCTAGAGCTTTTGAATAATCTTGGGTCCTGCGGGGTTTTGATCATCTCTTATTGATGTGACTTAATATTTACATTACAAGTTCCTCCAAGCAACAATTTTCATTTAAACGTTGTATTATTTTAAACATTTGAGAACCTTTTCTGAAGCAGTTACACTCAAGTGAGAAATAGTGAGGAATTAGCGGCTGTTTATGACGTTTACCCAGCACTGTGCTGTAGGTGAGGTTAAAACGAAAGCGCCGGTTCGCCGTGCCCTTCACGGAGTGCCTCAGCACACGCTGTATAGTATGTCAAGGGCGCTGGAGTAGCAGGCTCGACTGGAAATAAAGCATTTGTCGCTGAACGCCGCTTGTTGGTGAAGGAGGCGCTTCGCGCTGTACTCGAGGATCAATCCTTCTCCCCTCTCCAGGGCAACCCCGCCCGAGTCAACCTCCCGGCGTGCAGAGGCGGGGCTGGTACCCAGCCTCACTCTGAGTTTTGGGGGGAGACCCAGATTCATTTCCTGCAGATTCAGCAGGGTCGGGTCTCCGAAGTTCAGAACCACAAGAAAGACCGTGTCTATGCCGTCCAGCTCCCTCGTGTACGCCACGGAGTGGCTGTCGCTACTCAGCAGGCAGAACCAGCCCCTGCTGATGAGCAGCTCGTTGGCGTGAAGGAGACTTAGGTCTTGGTACAGCTTCAAAGCTGAGGTAGGCTGAGTCTTTTGGACCTGTTTTTTCAAAAGAATATTTACATAAATGTTTGATCCTAAGGATTTTTAAAATAATAATTCAGTATCTAATGAGGCACCCTCCATTGCTTCTATTTTGTCCCTGAAAACAACTGCCAAATTACACCCATTAAGTAGATAGAGTAGCGTGTATAACAACTGACAGTGCAGACCCAGCTGTGCAGCTTGCCCGAGGCCCGACCCGGGCTGACTCCACTGTAGACCCTGAAACGGGTGTTCGCCCCCAGAGTAGCGCTGCTGTGCCTGCTGCCTGACGTTGCTGGGCCGTACTGCAGTTGCCAAACCCACGAAGCAGCCCGCGCGGCAGCGGGCCCTGAGGACCTGCCTGGGGTGCGCGTGGCCTCCCGGGCTCCTCTGTAGCGCCGTGCAGGCTGCAGCAGCCACGGGTGTGCGGCACAGCTAAGGAGGGAGCAGCAAGTTTCAAAAGAAGATACAAAGCAAAAAGCTGCGTAAAGTGAAAGACAACAATTGTAGGGGTGCCTTTACCAGAAAAGGCTATGGCTAGTAAAGATTTGAATTTATTTTTAATGTATTTTTTCCTTTTTCTCCCTGAACATTTCACACGTTTTGCTATCATAATATAGCTTCATAAATGTCATTTTAAAGGTGAATTTTTTTTTTTCTTGTACTGGGAATTGAACTCTGAACCCTGCCCTGCCAGGCAAGCGCTGTGCCACTGAACTGCAGCCCTGGCCTTAATGGTAAATATTCCGTGAAATGGTTGCACCATACCTGACGCTCCGTCATCCCACCCCCCATATTTTGTATTACTTATTTAAGGATAGTTGGTCAGAAAGATGATATGTGAGAGCGTGAACTTTTGATACATAGTGCCAAGTTACTCTTCCTAAGAGCTGTTGCCAAATCAACCATGTTTCGCTCACTGTATTCTTGCCAACCGTGTTTCTGGGGTGGTTGTTGTTGTTGTTGTTACTGTTCTTTAGGGGTGGATGCTTAATGTGTCTTCAATGAATATTTCATAGGTGTTTGAAAAATAAAGTGTATTCTCTGTTACCAGGTACAAAGGTACTCACGGTGTGTGTATACGGCTCGTGGGTTCTTAGCAGCATTCTCTGTAGCACAGGTAGCGCTGCATGAGGAGCACAGTGCCGTCACAGGAAGAGTGCTCGTGCGCAGCTGTGATTTTTGTCTCAAGTCCTGGTAATTGTGAATTTGTCAATTTTTCTTGCATTTTTCAGAGTATTTGTTTTATGTCTTTTGAAGCTATTGCAACATGCATAATGATTTTAGTGAACTTTTTTTTTTTTAATTTTAAAAATTGCCTTTGCCTCATATAATGCTTTTCATACTGAATTCTATTTTGTCTGCTATTAAAAATTTCCAAGCTTGCTTTTTGTGCCTCCATTTTTTGGCCGGGTGCAGGTAGTACGAAGTTGAGTGAGGCAGAATCCATGGGGTGGAAAGGCCTTGCGGCTGCTCCCTGTTGGGCTCCCGGCTCTCCCACGGGGTTACCGCTTCTGCTCTCCACGTTCATGCGCGTGGCAGTCCTCCTTCCGCACACTCAAGGAGATGTTTTCTTTGCTCTGTAGCAGGTTATCATTGTGTCCTATTTATTGTTAACATACATACATGGTCTCATGTCCTTTTAGCTGTTCTCATACACTTTTCTTAAAAGCTACATTCTACCCAAATAATGGATCTGATACTCTGTTGATGAAATGTTGAAATCATTTGTAGAGTCTTGAGCGCTACTGCTGTCAAGACCCTCGTGTATTTATCATTTGCAAATATCCCTAGATACGGATCGCTGGAACGTCTGGTCCAAAAGTACACTTCTTATTCTGATGGCTAAGCAGCAAGCCTCCTGAAACCATTTGCCTCTTATATCTTACATTCTGTGGGCTCTTATGTTTTAACTTTGTCTCTTATATTTTTTCTTATTCCCTAACCTGAGTGTGTTTTGTCTTTTTAATACATGAATTTAACTTCTTTATCTTTGGTTAGCACATGTTCAGACAACCTCAGATTTCTTTATCTTTGATAGTTTGGTTGCTGTGCCTTTTTAAAGGCCTTTTATTAGCTCCATTTTCTTCATGTAGTTTTTATCCTTCTAATGTTCTCTGAAAATGCCATTTCACTCATTACTCTTAAAATTATAATGACCTTTCAACATAAGTTTTTGTCAACTTCAAGAACAGCGCCCTCAACAGAACACCCTGCAGTGCTAGAGATACTCTGTGCTTTCTGAAACGGCAGCCACTCGCCCAGGAGCGCCCCGCTGGTAGTGTCACGCAGGAACCGCAGATCCAGCGTTCGCTCGTAGCAGTCTCCACAGCGAAGGGCCCAAGCAGCTTGAGGGTGAACCCCGTCTTTTTCCACCCCTGGACAGGAGGAATGTCCACCTGCCTGCGCACAGACCCTTTCGCCACCTACCCCTGCCTGTAGTACTGTACCAGATTTGTCACACTGAGGCAAGAGGATTGTATATTCAAGCCCAGCCTGGGTAACTAAGTGACACTCTGTCTCAAAATTCTAAAAAGCGGTAGATACAACTCAGTGAAGAAAGATGATAAATTAGATGGTAAGTGATTGATTGATTGATAGATAGATAGACAGACAGACAGACAGACAGACAGACAGATAGATATAGGTGTGTTTTATTTTCCACTGGATTGTTTTGATTGGTTTGTTGGTGTTATTTTGCTTACAGTACAAAGGATTGCCACCCAAGCACTGGGACTGAACCCAAGAAGCACTGACCTACATCCCCATCCTATTTATTTATTTCTGTATTTTAGGGAAGGGTTTACACGGTGTTCAGCGTCTCACTACTAGATTGGACTCATAGTGATTCTCCTGTTTAGTCTCCCAAGTGCTGGGATTACAGGCGTGCGCCACCACACCCAGTCTCAATTGCCGTCTCAGCTTGCCCTGGGATGGAACCACAGGCCCCTGCGCCTGCTTGCAGGCCCTTTAATCTGCTGAGCTATTTGGCTGGCCCTTTATTTTTTATTTTAAAACAAGTTTTGCTAAGTTGCCTGGACTTGCCTCAACCTTGAAATTCTCCCGCCTCAGCCTTCCCAGTAGGTGGCATTATAGGGGCATATCACCACACTGGGTAGCTGTCCAGGTGGCAGGCCTGGAGTGGGGGATTTGTGCAACAGGACGATGGCATGGAGTCCTGTATCAGAGGAACCCTGGGGAGTGTCCACGGATTACTTAGACATTTGGACAGAAGGATTATAAATGTGTCAAGTATCCCCGTACGGTGCAGATCAAGCTGCTTCCCTGAACTGATTGAGATTGTTTCCCAGTGAAATTTTCACACAGGCCTACCACTGATTCTTGATCACTATTAGGACAGGAAAAAAAGCATAGGCAACAGCCAAAGGGTGTGCTTTTCTAGAAGAGCTCCTTTAGATAGCTCCTGCCTTCTGTTCTTCTGGAGAACAGCCCTACTTTCAAATCTACATTCACTAGACTTGGTGTCGGACCTGCCTGTCCACCCGCCTGGCATCTGCCTTTTGAGGAGAAGAGAAGGGAGGGTAGCCGGGCTGCCTGACAGACTTTGTAATACAGAGGTTTTCATAGCTCAGAGATCTCGGTAAAAGTCATTCCAAAGAAGTGGTACATTATGATTTTTCAGATGGCAGGTTTGTACTGGTTAATGTTTTCACAAAAGCATGACTTGCAAGCTTCCTGCAAGTAGAACTACAAGGGAGGTCTGTGATGAACTACAAAGAACATCATTGGTTAAGTTTTAGACACACAGGGTGACCATGTCAGCCATTCCACTCATGTCCTGTTTCTGAAGTCCACATGACATTGCCATTGATACTTACATGGACATTGACAGTGTGGTAGTCTGAACTGGTGGGCAACCAAGTGTGATTTCCTTCAGAAAAGCCAGCATTTGAACTGTTATCCCACTGCATTGGCGACTTTGAGAGAAGCGTACTCTGCGTCAAAGGACCAGAAAGAAGGCAATTGTCAGGGTATTAAAACTGAAATACACTTTGTTCCTTCATGGCTTACTTCATGACCATTTAGTTCCCTGTAGCTCTTAGCTAGCGCTTATGTTCATTAGCAGTCATCTTGAAAGGGTTTGACATTCAGCGCAAAAGCCAGTCTTGTACTTTTCAAGGGAAAATGGCTAATAACATCTTGAGTTTGAATGAACTCTAACATGATTGTAATTTTAGCTGCTTTTCCCTAAAAATGAGTAATAGAGGATTTCAAAATGTGCCATTATCAATTTGTGCTACTTCACTCCATTGGGGTGCAGAGCAGGTGAACGTAGGAACTCTGCCAGCTGCCCCTGAGCCTGAATTCTGCCCTGCCCATTTCTCCAGGGTGGTGGTTCTACTTGAGTGCTCACATGCAAACTTAGCTGATAGAAAGTTTGAACCTAACAAGGTATTTGGGAAGTGAGGTCCCATGCAGTTGAAAGCTAACCAACCAAATTAAAGGGTCACGGTCAGCCTTCTACGCAGCCACACAGCTGCAGGGGCCCTGGCTCAGACAAAAGCAGACTAAAGCCACCCAACGTGGGCTCTGGAGTACGCTTGGTAAAATAAAGTCTTTGTGCTGTGTTCATAGGGGCCATGTGGAATCCAGCAGGTTAAATGAAAACTAAAAAGCATTATTTCACCAGATTATGGGCAAAGATCAATGAATACAGCAAACACCGGTTCTCAAATTTCAGTGTGCCTAAGAATCAGCATTTCAAATGCAGACTCCTGGGCCCTGCTCAGGAAATTCAGTTATGTGGCTTAGAAAGCAGTACGTGTAATAAACTCATCCACCAAGAAAGCTGGTGAATCCTACTGTGTGACCCTAAGAAAGAAAAGCACCGAGGGGTGGTGGCACACACCTGTAACCCCAGCACTCTGGGAGGATGAAAAATATGGCAGGAGTGAAACCGAGAGTCTTGGTTCCCAAACTCAGTTCATCGCACCATCCGGGAAGATGGCCACGACCCTGCTCGTCGCTGCGTGGGCAGCTTGCAGTCAGAAGCAGATGTTTGCCGAGTACTTCTGTTAGAGAGCCATTGCTCACAAACAGAAATATTCTTGAACTCAGATACTACTGTACTCTTTCAGGGGCTGCGGTGGGAGGTTAAATGGATTTCACTTACAGTATCGTAGCGTTCGTTGATGTTTGGGGCTAAAATATCTTGCATCCCTAGTTCCTCTCCATAGTAAGTGACAGGCGTCCCAGGGAGCGTGAAGAGCAGCATGTTCATGATGTTGACGTACTGGTCCCCAAAACGGGAGGCCAGCCGAGTACTGTCCGGTCCACCAAGCTGAAAGGCAGACATATTAAAAAACCACAGCAGTACTTGGTTGACTGAGAGGGAGAGCCACTGGGGGACGGTGGCTTGGTGAGCCCAGCTGCGGTCCTAGGCCTACTGCCTGCTGCAGAGTTGATCTGTCTAGCCTGTGGCCACTGAGGATTTGTCTAGAGAACTCTCAGGGGCACTGCACATGAGATCAACTGCAGACGGTGTGTGTGCATATTTTCTTAAATTCGGGTAAGTTTCTTTGATGAAAGATAAATGTTTTTTCAATGAAAAATGTTTCTTGGTGGACAAAGTAGGAAGGGGAGGTGGAAGGGACGCTTCTGTTTTCTGCCTTTTATTGACTTTGAACAATCTGAAACATTTGAAAGGTAAATCAGGTTTTATGAAGAAATTTACTTAGTCAAAAAAGAAACTTAAAGCTGTGTTATATATACATTCATGGCTGCAATTACGTACTGTAACATCTGCTCAGATCACCGAAGTCACCTCTTTTCATAATAGCACAACTCACTTTTCATGTGCATATGCTGACGCTAGCACCTTGCTACCTACATCTTATTCTCCCACCCACCACGAAACTAGCGCTGAGAAACTGCACCATTAACTCAAGTCATGGTATGGTAGTCAGAGAAAGAACTCGCCCTTCTTATGGTGCTGGGTATGACACTGATGACCACTCTACCTCTGAGCTACGCTCCCAGCCCTTTGTAGTCTCAATTGTGCAGGGTAGTCTTGAGTCATGGCCGGGCTGGTGAGATGGCTCAGTGGTCTAAAGCACCTACTTAGAACAAGCTTAGTCAAAGCACAGAGACTGCGGTTCAATCCCCCAGCACCACATGCCAGCCAGCCCCGCCCCCTGGTGGACTGAGCTGGACACACACACACACACACACACACACACACAAATAATAAAATTTGAGTCATGGCCATCCTGCCTCAGCCTCCCAAGAGCTGGGATACTAGGTGTGCACCACCTTTGTGGCTAAGAACCAGCCTTTGAACTTGAGTTTTACTATTTGGGGGTACTGAACTCAGGACCTCATGCTGGCCAGGCAGGTGCTGTACTACTGAGCTAGATCCCTAGCCCCAAACTTGAGTCTTAGAAGGGGAACTTGGTTATTTTTTTTTAATTTATGCTTATTTTGTTTGTTTGTCTGTTTGTTTGCATAGACTACTTTTTTAATTTTTTTTTATTTTGAGAAATAAATATGAATGAGACAGCTTCAAAGCTGAATAATAGGACAGTTTCGATAATCAATACATTGTGCATTATTATCTTCTTAGTGGTTATCCATAGTACAAGAAGCAGACAGGATATCCTGTCCAAACACTATTAGTACACCTCTTCTCATTGAATTAAGCAAAAGTAGCTGTATATCTATCCTAACTATTTTGTATATATAAATACAAAATGATCTTTCCTTTGTATCCCTTTTTTTTTGTTTTGTTTTGTTTAGTCCTGTCAGAGGTGAATATTCTATTGGCATCTAAATACTATAGGTGTTTGAATTCAGCTAAACAATCCAGCACTGTCTAGCAGTCTATAATATTAGTGGGTTATCCTTAGAAGTTATTGACTTGAGCCTTTTACAGCTCATCGTATTAACATGGCTTTACTTTACCTCCTTTTTTATACTTTTCTTCTGGGTGGTTAAGACCAAGATAAAGCAAGACCTATACAGCAAGAAATGTAACTTTTGTATCTGATATGGTCAGTCAAGTACCCTCAGGATTTATCCCGTTGCCCTGTACTGCACTTTGTAGATCCTTTACAGTGTCAGCCATGAGGATGAGTCACGGACATTGCTTGACCAATTTGCTCTCTGTCAAAGCCTGAGAGAATGTTTTTTCTCTCCATGTGACTCTCCCCAGGCACACTATACATCATCGATCACATTCCTCTGTGGCTCCATAATCATCTTGATCAGAAAATTTGCAGCACAACTGAGTTACATGTTGTTACAGTAGAGGTTCTCCTATGTCCCGAGTCTTCACTGACCTGGAAAGGCTAGGGCCAAAATGTTGGCTGACCTTGCAGCCCTTCCTTTTCTCCAATTTTGAGCTAACTTAGGTTGTTAACCCTCCAGAAGAGAAGCTTATTATTAACCTGCAATTTATGTAGTTTGGTTTACCCTATCTGTCTAAATATCAAACATCTTTGGCATATCATGAAACAGGTATTTTCCATCAAATATTGGTATGCTGAACTTTAAGACTTTATAGACTATGTAGGAAAAATAATTTTATAAAGGTAGAAATAAGCATTTACATAATTTTACAAAGAAATTTAGAAATCTAACCATACACAGAATTGTAACAGGACAGACCTGTGACATTTTTTTTCTTATTCTTATGACTTTTTTTTTTGCCATTTATCACCCTTTGGAAAAAAAAAAAAAAAAACTTCACTTGAGAGACATTATGGCAATAAATGGTATGTCATGACAAGAAGTACATATTGAGAAGACCAGGATGGCAGGCACTCCAAGTGTGACCCCTCCGTTACACATGGCCATCCTTGGTGCAGCCGCCTGGCTCACAGGCACCAGCATACAGAGTTAGTCAGGGTGAGAATCTCACCAGCCAACCGCTAGTCTCTAAAGCCCGCTGATGTCCCCCAGGATCCCTGCCCCACCCGTCTTGCATGGCTTTGCCCCTGTCGTGTTTCTCAGCTTTTCTCCTTGCCCCCTCCTCATTGTGGAAACTTGATTATTATAGTTCAAGAAAAAGGTTGCTTCCTGAGACGGACTGAAATCTTGTATCTTCACAAGCCATTGTAAGCCACTTTTCTAGTTTTATGGCCAGAAAAATTAGATCAAATTTTACCTCCATTTCTGTCCTTTTCAGATCTGACAAAAAAACATATAATTTTTCAAGTCTTCTACACACTTTCAGAATTAAAGTCCAGAAATGTTTCTATAGTTTGCAGCAAAATGGGGCCTACTTTTTCTAAATTGTGACAGGGGACACTTCCAGAATGGCAGAATGAAAGCCTCCATAACTTGCAAGGTGAATGGTATGAAAACTATTTTTTAAAAAACAAAACTTTTTTTTCATAACTCTTGAAATTAAGTAAAGGCTGCAAGAATCCAAGATGAATTTACCAAGAACAGCTGGATCTGAGAACAGTGAGCTTTGCAGTATTTTATCTTCCCTGATCTCATGCCCAGATTCCCAGCTCCATGACAGCCTTGAAAACCAACAGCCTCCCAAATACCGTAGTGGGAAACCAGCAACCTAGAAGCCACTCGAAGACAAAACGGGTTTAAAGTTCACGGAAAGATCCAGCTATCCAGAGCTGCAGCTACACAAACTTTCCAGCAGCTCCTTTTGGTTGAGAGTTTTCTTTATTGGGCCTTCCCCATGCAGACAGGTGAAACAGGCCTAAATGAGAAATTGCCATGGGCTCTAGGTCTCCATCTGGACTCATGGAAGACATCGCCATGGGATCCCGGCCCTCACCTGGATTCTTTGGGTCTCTGATGTGTGGACAGGTCATGCATGTTTGCATCTGACTCTTTGGGTGAATATTATTAATAGTTTTATAAATTATGTGTCCTGTATCAAATCTTTTCCCTTGTAAGCCCTGGCTACAGCACCTAGTATAGTACTTACAATGTCCAGTTTTCAACATGTTAGGAAACAAAAATGCAGACCATACATTGGAGAGAGGGCAGACAACAGAAGATGCTGCTGAAGAAAGCCAAACACTGGACTTACTGGACAAGACTAAGTCCATGTTTACACATGGGTTCAGATAGCTGAGCATGTTTAAGGAATTTAAAGATGGTGCAAGAACAGCGTGATCCAATGGATACCCATAGATACTATGTGGCAGAACAAACGGAAGTTTTGGAATTGAAAAGCACAAGAATAGAAATGAAAAGTCCCAAGGCAGGGATTGACAGATGGCAAAGGAATCCAAATGTGAAGACGGGTCGGCTGAGAGCAGAGGCTGACAACTAAAAAGCAAAGAATGAAGCACAATGCGCATTGTCTCAGAGATCTGTGGGGTGCGTCACACATACCAGTGTTTCCATAAAAGAAAGATTGTCTCCACAAGGAGACAAGAAGGAAAAGTGGGCAGAAATAATGTTTGAAAGAATAATGACCAGCAGCTTCCCAAATTTGGTGAAAATCTGCACATCCAAGAACCTCACTGGACTCAAATAGGAAAAAATAAAGATTCCCACCAAAACACATCAGGGAACTGTCAAAGGGCACAGACAGAATGCTGAAGGCAACAACCAAAAATCAACATCACATACAGAGCCTGAACATCAACTGCTGAATTCTCAGCAGAACTCATGGAAGCCAGTGGCAAAAGAATGAAAGAAAAAACTCAAGCAATATCTGTATCCAGGGGCTGGTGAGATGGCTCAGTGGTCTAAAGCACCTACTTAGAACAAACTAAGCTAAGCTAAACAAAGCACAGGGACCGCGGTTCAATCCCCCAGCACCACATGCCAGCCAACCCCGCCCCCTGGTGGGCTGAGCTGGCCACACACTAAAAATAAAATAAATTAAAAAAAAAAAAAAGATATTATTGTTTGGTGGGTATTGCTTTCCTGTGTGAAATCATGACCAAGTTCTGGAACTAGGTAGGTGGTGGTTGGGCAACACTGTGAAGGCACTGATGCCAAATAGTTCTATTTTCTGTGTATTTTACCCCGATAAAAGAAAAGGCAGAAAATAGTCTTGGTAGTCCACATTAAACTAGAAACTAAACAAGTTCAACCATGTTGTAGGATACAGCATCAAAATACAAAAAGTTGTGTTTCTATACACTAATAATGAACAGTCCAGAAGTCAATCCTAAACTTATTGTGTGAGTGCAACATGAACACACAGCCAAAAAATAGGCAAGAGAAAAGGGAACTCCTGGAGAGATTAAAAAAAGAAAGAACCAGAAAATTCACCATGAAATGCTTGACCAAACCTTTGCAGACATGCTTCTTAAAAAGTTTGGGCCTCGGGGCTGGTGAGATGGCTCAGTGGTCTAAAGCACCTACTTAGAACAAGCTAAGCTAAGCAAAGCACAGGGACTGCGGTTCAATCCCCCAGCACCACATGCCAGCCAGCCCCGCCCCCTGGTGGGCTGAGCTGGCCACACATACTAAATAAACAAATAAAATTTTAAAAAAATTAAAAAAAAAAAAAGTTTGGGCCTCTAGGGCCACAAGTTAGCTCAGCAGACTAAGCACCCGCTGAGTCAAGCACCAGGTTTGATCTTGGGGACCACATGCCGCACTGGCCCTATCTCCAGGCCGCTGAGCTGGCCACCAGATCCAGGTATGGTGGCACACATCTGTAATCCCAGTACTTGGGGAGCTAAGACAGGAAGGTTACAAGTTTGAGTTTCACATGGGCAATTTATTCAGAACTTGTCTCAAAAATAAAAGACTTGGGATGTGGCTCAGTGCAAAGGCCCTGGGTTCAATCCTCAGTATTCCAAGAATGAATGAAGAGATATATATTATGTTCATGGTATTTTATTTACTTAGGAGCAAATCAATGATGAAAAATGAAAATGAAGCAAAACACCTCAGGCAGGTCCTTCAAGAAAGATTCCAAATGAAGATACTGTTATCATAGGAGATGCCAGCTCCACAAGGGTCACTGTCCCTGATGCCTGTGCACTGGGTCAAGGTATGAAGGTGGAGGACAATGATACCGAGGATCCTGGCCCTGTGAATCCTAGCTTAATGTGTTTTGTTTGCAACTTAACTTTCATCAAAGAAGATTTAAAAAGTTAAAACATGAAAATAAGTTTCAAGAAAAAATGGAATATAGAAAAAGGATATAAAGAGAACATTCTGTACTACCACATGATGTATTTGTGTTTTAAGCTAAGGGTAATTACAAAGAGTCAAAAAGCTTAAAAAGACTTAAAATCTTATGAAGAATTTAGAATGAGCTAAAGTTATTATTGGAAAAAGAAAACTTTGTATAAATGTAATGTACCAAAGTGTGCAGGATTTGTACTGTCTGTGGTGCCGGACAGCCACGGACTCAGCCCTCACAGTCGTTCACCACTGACGCACCAACTCCCCGGGGACAACCGCCAGTCCACGGGCCAGCGGATCGTATTTTATCCTTTAGGCCGGACTTTTTCTGTGGTTAGATAATCTAACTACCATTGTGTTCCAGATGCAATAACGTGCTATCGAGATCCATCGTCCAGGAGCAATGAACATTCCTAAAGAAGACAGGCAGAACCTCTGTGCTGCATTCTACACAGTGTTTTGTCATTGTTTGGTGTCCATCCTGAACCTCCATGGAGCTTTTCACCCCGGAAATCCTCTTTCTGAGGGGGTTGGGGAGATAGCTCAGTGGCTTAAGTGCCTGCCTGGCAAGTACAAGGTCCTGAGTTCGATCCCCGGTACCAGGAAAAAAAAGTAGAGGGGTAAGTGGGGAGGTACCGTGGTTCGATCCTTCCCCACTAAGACCTCACAGAGTTGTGAACACAGGCAAATCCTCCCTGAGTGTTCAGGGCCAGTGGGACAGGCTTCACTATGTAAGGTCACTTAGAGACAAGTCTGCCCATTTTAGAGGTCCCTGGCCTTCAGAACTCACCATCCAATTAGGCCACTTCCCTTCCGGCATGTTTGCCATCCACGATAAGATAACCTCATGCACAAGGTTCCCAGAAAGAGCGTGGAGGGTGGTGAAGAAGTTGTTGAACGGGAAGTCCGCTTCTTGGACAAAGGGCAGCCCGTAGTACATCATGGTCCTGGCGGTGCTCTCGGCGTACGCCTCAGTCCCCATGAACCTGTGGGAGTCGGCAGGGCTCCAGGTTATCACTGCATGTCAGGAGACAGGAAGTCTCAGCAGCTCTGAGATCTTATTGATCTCTAGATGTGAACTGTCAGCAGAGAAGGCCCAGGCTTAAGAGAAAGCAGTCCAGCCAGAGGGCCCAGAGATGTGGGTGGGCAGCTAACAACTGCTCCTTATAATAAACCCCCAAAGTGGCCTGATATTAAGTCATACCTAAGAAATAAGAGATATACTTGGCCCTCAATCAATACTGTTCACTACTTTCTAAACCAGATAAAAACCCAGTAGCATCTTTGGGGGGGGGGTGTTTTGTTTTGTTTTGTTTTCTCTTGTGTTTGTTTGCTTTTTGAGACAAGGTCTCACTATGCAGTACAGGCTGGGCCTGAATTCACTTTGTAACCCAGGCCGACCTCAAACTTACAACAATCCTCCTGCTTGGCCCTCTGAGTGTTGGGACTACAGGCAGGCACCACCAAAGTTCAAGTGGCAACTTTGAAGACCTGCCTTAGCAATAATAATTTATAATTTGCAATAGCATGACTGACTATAAGACAAAGGCTTTTCACCTCCCAAATTACCCTTGTATCCGAGCCTTATAAATTCTCATATTATTCAAATACACTCTCAATTACCCAAACACTCAGAAAGACACATTCACCCCAGTACCTGCCCCATATATGAAATCTCATTTAACCTCACCATAGTAGAAAGGTTATTCGTGTTGCCTGTTTATGGCTGAGAAAACAGACGTAGATGACCCAGCCAGCTCTTGTCACAGAGCCACGAGCAGGGTCCCAGGCGACTGCAGAGCCGCCTCCCCACCACCGGGCCCTACAGACAGACGAAACCTCTGGATCAGTGCCGTACCTGTATCTGCCAGGCTCCCGGCTGTAGCGGTCCATAGTCTGCCGGAAGCTCCGGACAATGTCATGCGTTCCCACTTGGGTAGTGGTGAAGTCGTGGTACAGCTCCGAGTACTGAGTGACAGTGTCCTTTAAAAACCAGGACAGCATAATTACCACGTGCGTAGGAGCCGTTCTTAAATGCACTCAAACTGAGTGAGATACACACTCCAAGACAATCCTAGGGCCTTCCCTGCTCAGGACTTTGTAGACAGAATACTCAGACTATCAGTAGTTAATTTGATTCTATAATTAACCTTATAAATCTCATAAATAATAAATATTTCTCCATCACTTTATCAAACTAAATTTTACTGAACACCAAAACATTACTTACAAGCGTATTTCCTAAAGTCCTCCTAAATATATAATTATCTAAAATGAAAACTTCGGTGGAAGAGGAGGCTGCGGTAGTTGAGGAGGTGGCAGCAGCATCGGTGATGGAGGGGGCCATGATAGCAATCATGGATTTGGAGGTGACGTGGAAACTGTGTCAGTGGTCCTGGAGTAGTAGGAGAGGGTAGGATGCTGGTGGACCAGATACAGAAGCCAAGGTGGTAGATACGGTGGTGGTGCTGGAGGAGATGCTGTATACAATGGAGGAAATTTTGGTGGTGGGAACTGTGGTGGTGGTGGTGGGAACTGTGGTGGTGGTGGTGGGAACTGTGGTGGTGGTGGGAACTGTGGTGGTGGTGGAAACTAATTATAGTGGACAACAGCAATCAAGTTACAAACTGAAAGGGAGCAGTTTGGGTGGAAGAAGCTCTGGCAGTCCCTCTGGTGCTGGTTATGGGTCTGGTGGTGGAAGTGGTAGACATGGTAGCTGAAGTTTAAAAAAAAATAGGAAAGAGCTACAGTTCTCCGCAGGAGAGTGAGTTGTCAGGAACACTGCAGGTTACTTTAAGACAACTGTCCCAAATGCATTAGAGGAACTGTAAAAATCTGCCGTGGAAGGAACAATGATCCTTGGTAGAAAGTTACTGCAGCTTAAGCAGAAAACCCTTCTGGTTCAGGACCGTCACAGCCACAGGGTGCAAAAAGTGCAGCTAGCTATTAATGTGATGTTGTGTCAGTTAGATGCACATTCTTTAGGGATATATACAGTCTGCAGGATCCCACTATGTAAACTGGACTCATAGTGATTCTCCTGTGTTCAGCCTCCCAAGTGCTGGGGTTACAGGTGGGCGCCCCACGCCCAGTCTCAGTCAACACCGCAGCATGGCCTGAGGGCAGGGCCAGCAGGGCATACCAGGGATCGAACCCAGCTGCTGTGCTCTGCCAAGCACACGCTTTAGTCCACTGAGCTATCTGGCTGGCCCTACCTCAGGGCTTGGGTTTTTGGGTTTTTTTAATATATGTTGTAGCTTTATCTTTTTCTTTCTTTAATTATAACAGGTATATTGCCCTATAAATTGGGATATAAAGGAAAAAAAAATTAAGAAATTCTTTTTAAAAAAAGTTTCAGGGCTGGGGAGATAGCTAAGCGTACGAGCACCTGCCTGGAAAGTGCAAGGTCCTAATTTTGACTCCTGGTACCAAAAAAAAGTATCATGTTCTGTATAATAATTTTAGGGGTCTATTTATTTATATCTTTTTGAGATAGGGTCTCACTATGTAGCTCAGGCTGGCACTGAGCTCACTTTATAGCCCAGGCTGGTCTCGAAGTCACAATGACCCTCCTGCCTCAGCCTCCCGAGTGCTTGGATTACAGGCCTGTGCCGCGGCGCCCAGCCTAGGGCTTTGGTGTTTTTGTTTGGTTTTTTTGTTTATTTGTTTGTTCGTTTTAGAACTATTGTCTGCTTGGCCATTGAAAATCCGGCAACCATAGGACGGTGATGAGCAGAGCAATAAGTGGTGTGTGGACACCATGGCTACGCGTGTCGTGGGGGAAGGCTAAGAATCTGTCAGCGGGCTTGGCTCCGAACTCGTCTCACCACTCCTGCTGTCCTTGACAACAGAAGTTAACCTCTCGCATCTTTGCAAAATGAGGACCCTGAAACCTCTCTCCATGGAGTTAAATGATATAACCCAAGACAAACATCACCGACGTAGCACACACGGCCGATGTCGGCTCCTTCTCTTCCATCTGTGCACCCCTCATCACTGGGAATTGCGGGGTCCTTGAGTTAATGACAAAATCCTTGAGCAAACCGCCCTCCGTGTTGTGGCAGTTGGGAGAGAGACCCAGGTCTGTGTTTTTAGAGCCCTCTTGGTCGAAGAAAGGATCTGGGCGTGCGCATTAGGAGCTCCTCGGTTTCCGAGAACGGTGATTCAATGTACTTCCTACAGGCCAGACCGAGCTTAGCTTTGTAATTAGTTGGTGGAGGAGGAGAACAGAGAGAAGAAAAGATGGAAAGAAAGAGAGGGGAGGGAAGGAAAGGGGAGGAGAGAGGAGGGGAGGGAAGG